ACTTATCTGCCATTTTTCATTTTGATTTCAGATCTGATTGTCATATTTTTACTTCTCCTGTTTAACCCTTTCCTGTAGTCATGCAGGATAAGGGTGATGGTCCTGAGGGCCGCGTTACTGACTTCCATCAGGAACTACCTGAGGGTCAGGCCATTTCTGAGGAGTTCCAGGCTCTGATGGACTCCACCATGGTGTCCTCTCTCCAGAGAGCGCTCGCCTCTGCTATGGGGGCTATGTCCTCCTCCTTTTCCCAGACTCTGGCGCAGTATCTTTTGCTGCCCCAGGTGGCTAATCCTGCCCTACTGGGTACGGACCCTACTCCTGTCCCTACCCCACCTGGTGCCCGTAAGGCCAAGGTGAAGGCCAAACATCTCTCCTCCCACTCCATGACGCAGGTTTTACCTGCCTTGACGGACTCGCCTGAGGCAGTCACAGATGGCGCGCTCCCACCACGCAAAAGAGCCTCTGGTCGGGCAAAAACGGCCAGGTTATGGAAACGGGCTAGATCCCGTGAAGAAAGGTCGAAGAGCGACCGGAGTGAGGAGGAGGAGTATGAGGAACTAGACTATGCTTCTGATGATGAAGCCGGCTCGGAGGAGGGAGCTCCCCCTGCCGTAGCACCCCATACTGGGGGCGCTTTCCCTGCCGGGGGTGTTGCTGCCCAGGGGGCAAGTGGCGACGCGGGGATTCTGGATCCGCAGGGTAACCCCCTGTTTGATCCGGATGACTTGCGCCATCCTCGTTCCGCTGAGTGGGAACCCCCTGAGCATATCGCCCGATATATCGCACTTAGGATGCGTACGCCACTCTCTAGGGAGAGTCGCAGTAAGCTACGGGCTGAATGTCCTAGACCTTCGGTCCCAGGATCGGCGTGTAAGACGCCAGAGGTCGATCCTCAGATTGCCCAGTTCCTCAACAAATCAGGCTGGAAGCAAAAGAAGGGCCTTGATTTTTCCCTGAGACATTGTCAGGACAAGATTATGGACACCATTGGCCCTCTGTCTAAGGCCTATGAAGTTTTGGAAGCCGCCAAGGCGGGTGACGCGGAGCTTGATATTGATGTAGCGATCGGTTGGGTGCAACGTGCCATGTGCCTGCTAGGCAATGCTAACATGGCCGTCTCCGCTGAGCGCAGGAAGGCAATCCTGCTTAAGATTGATCCTAAGTTGGCTACCATGGCCATCTCCGAACCTGGTCCCTCCGCTGAGGGGATGTTCTTTGGAGATAATTTCGTAAGAGACCTGGGGTCTTATGTTAAAACCTTCACAGCCATTGATAAGGCCCAGGCTAATATGAAGAGGGTGTTTTCCCCTAGAGTTTTTGGAGGGGCCGGGCGCAACAGGAGCCGTCCACCCGGCCGCGGATTTCGGGGTTCGTATCGAGCCCAGCGAGGCTCCTTTTTCCCTACCAGGAACTTCCAAGAGCCCAGACCGGCTCCGTTCTACCCATCCAGAGGGAGGACCTGGAATTCCCGCTACCCGAGAGGTGCCTCATCAGGCAGACGCCCTTATGGCGAGTACCCCTTTTGTCCATCATACACAAGAGCGGGTGGCGGGCAGATTGGCCCAGTTTTATGAGGCATGGGTGGCCCTGACGGCAGATGCTTGGGTTCTTCAAACAGTGCAGGGTTACCACATAGATTTTGTGTCTTTTCCTGTTCAAACTTTTGTCCCCAGGGAACTCTCGCTAGCTCGAGAGCAGGAAGAATTGATCTCTTCGGAGATCATGGAACTACGCACCAAAGGTGCAATACAAGAGGTCCCGTTTACTCAACAGGGCTTTACAAGCAACCTGTTTCTAGTCCCGAAGAAAGGTGGGGGTGTGCGTCCGGTCATCAACCTCCGCCCCCTCAATGCTTTTCTCCAGTATTGTCATTTCCAGATGGAGAGCATCCATTGCCTTCGAGACCTCCTTCAGGAGTCCGACTGGTTGGTCAAACTGGACCTCAAGGACGCCTATTTTACGGTGCCTATAACCTCGGCCCACAGAGATTTCCTCCATTTCACCTGGAAGGGAAAGCGCTGGAAGTTTACTTGTCTGCCATTCGGTCTCTCCTCGGCCCCCTGGTGCTTCACCAAGGTCATGAAACCGGTGGTATCCTTCCTCCGGAGTCGTGGAGTAAGTCTGATCATCTATCTGGACGACATCTTGCTGATGGCCCAGTCAAGAGAATTACTGACGATTCATGTATCATGGACTACGTCCTTACTCCAGAACCTAGGTTTTCTCATCAATTGGGAGAAGTCGGTATTAGACCCCACCCAATCGCTGGAATTTCTGGGGTTTACAGTGGACTCCGTCCAACAATTCCTGTTCCTTCCGGAGTCCAAGACGAAGGCGATCAAGAAGGAGATCAGACGTACACTACGTGCAGACGACATCTCTATCCGACATCTGGCGAGGGTAATCTCCCTCTTGGCCGCCTCGATACAAGCAATTTTCCCTGGCCCTCTCCATTACCGGGCCCTTCAATGCTTAAAAGGCTCTCACCTACGTGCCGGCCACTCTTACGAACAGAGAGTGAGACTCGACGGCGAGTCCAGAGACGAGCTGACCTGGTGGCTGGCCCACATGGACGCCTGGAACGGGAAAGCCATATTCGGTTCTGTCCCGGACATCGTGATAGAGTCAGATGCCAGCTTACACGGCTGGGGCGCGCGTTGTGGTGCCGCATCTACCGGAGGCAGATGGTCAAATCAGGAGCGAACACTCCATATCAACTGTCTGGAACTATTGGCAGGTGCATTCGCTATATGTTAGCTCTCATGGCGAAGGACTTCTGGCAATTTCCGTGCAGGCGGAACATATTCCGGGTCTGGACAACTCAACGGCCGATTGGAACTCACGCTATTTGAGAGATTCTGGAGATTGGCGCTTGCACGCTACGGCCTTCCAGGGTCTGGACCACATTTGGGGCCCATTCGACGTGGACCTTTTCGTGTCCCGTCTCAACGCGCAAGTGCCCAAGTTCTTCAGCTGGAGACCGGATCCGGCGGCAGTAGCAACGGATGCGTTCCTTCAAGATTGGCCGCAGACTCGGCTCTACGCTTTTCCCCCGTTCAATATGATAGCTCGCACGCTGTCGAAACTGACGCAACACGGCGGCTCGTTGGTACTGATCACACCACTATGGCGGTCTTGGCCTTGGTTGCCTCGGCTGCTGGAACTGACAGCGGATTACCCACGCCTGATAACGACCTTCCCGATTCTCCTGAGGGATCCGGATGGCAACTCGCACGAGTTGGTGGAGCGCGGCCTCCTACACCTGATCGCATGGCCTCTTTCAGGGGACCCTGGTCTATCACAGGGGTTCCGCAATCAACTCTCGACCTCCTTGACAGTGCATGGGCACCAGGTACTCGAGTGGCTTACCGATCCGCCTGGAGAATATGGTCTAGTTGGTGCGTGGAACGGTCAGTGGATCCCATATCTGCCCCTTTACATGTGATCATGGAATTCCTTACTGAGATGTTTGAATCTGGGAAGGCGTACCGCACCATTAATCTATGCCGATCCGCTATATCAGCTGGACACCAAGGCTTGGATGGTTCGCCCGTAGGACGTCACCCCTTTGTATGCCGACTGCTCAAGGGGATCCGTCTCACCAGACCGCCCCGTGCGAGATTCACTGCCTTCTGGGACGTGAATGTGGTCCTCCAATTCTTGTCGGCTTGGTATCCAAATCAGGATCTCACACTGAAACAGCTGTCAGCGAAGGTGGTCATGTTGCTATGCCTTATCTCTTGCAAGAGGGTGTCGGATGTTCGGGCACTGGACTGGAATGCCATTGCGTTCACCCCGGAGGGCATCTCCTTTAACATATCCAGGAGAACGAAGTCGGCTTCGAAGGTGTTTGTTTACCCTAGATTCCAGGGAAACCTGGCTATCTGTCCAGTCGAATGCCTTCAGGCCTACCTCGAGGTTACTCGACCGTTGCAATCCCCGGAACTATGCCCCTTGTTCATCTCGCTTCGAGCCCCACACCTTCCGGTGTCTACACCTACGTTGGCGAGATGGGTTCGGGAACTGTTATCTCTGGCCGGGATCGATACGTCCAGATTCACCCCTCATTCAGTCCGTGGAGCTATGGCCTCCAAGGCGGCGGCTATGGGCTGCCGCCTAGAAGATATTCTACGTGCGGCGGATTGGTCACGGGAATCGACCTTTCGTGATTTCTACTTCAGGCCGATTGACCATTTTGCATCTCAAGTGGTTTCTAAGCTTTAAACTTGCATAATAGGAGCCTCCGTGTCTTTAATAAAATTCCCAAATTTTACTATTAACATGACGTAAAGTCATGATTTTATTAAAGACACGGAGGCGAGTATTATTCCCACCCACCCACCCGGTTGGAGTTGGGCATTGGCTGGTATGGTGGGTAAGTATGATATATTCGTTATTAGAAGTTTTTGATTGTATGTGTTATTTCTGACGTCTCTATGTATTGGGGTTACATTTATGCTCCCTATAGCTGTATTACCGTGTTTGGGTGTGTAGAGTTTGAGTTTGACGTACTGTGTTATTTATTATAGTTATGCACATACGGTTGGAGTCCAGTTATTACCTTCTTTTTTCTGTGTCTCCTTTAGCCTGAATTCTTCGTGATTTGCCATATTGGAGCTGCGGTTGGCTACGTTAGCCGAAGTTGGATGTTCTGTATTTGGTCTTCGTTATCCGCAAGAAAGAGGGGGATTGTGGATGCTTCAAGTATTTTATAGTCACTTCCTCTGTTATGTGATTGGTTACTTGAACACTGTATTTTTTGTTCTTTCAGTTATTTATTTATCTCTATTTCTTTGCTGCTGAGAGTAATAAAGAAAGAGATATGCATAATAGGAGCCATCGTGTCTTTAATAAAATCATGACTTTACGTCATGTTAATAGTAAAATCTGGGAATTGCGTATATTCCACCTCATAAACATGCTAGAAACCTTGATGATGTAAACATGTCTTCATCGGTAGTTGCATTATGTCTGCACTCCAAGTCTCACTAACCCACCTTCTAGCATAATGTTATCTGATGTACCCTACAAGCGTGAAACCTTATGACACTACAACTACCAACCAACTAATAACAACCATATTTGACTACCACTGGACTGCCAATGGCACTAACAGTGCATAAGGATGGGACAATTCACAAGATTACCTTCCCAGTGTAGACAACATTATTTCTTTTTTCACTTAGTATAGAAAATTTGACTCCTGGCTCTAAACACCCTACATGTTCTCATTCTTGGGATAGCCAAAGAGAAGCCCTCTTTGCCCTAGAAGGGGAATAGACACTGGTTGAGGAATAAGGGCTGTTCTTTCCGATGTACCAAAAATATAGGTTGTGACAACCTATATTTTGTATATATTGTGTTCTCTATATCTTTCAGTAAGGGGTTGAGGGTAATATAAGTGTTTGATGCCTGCTATCATATCTATACTCAGTTGACACTCTAGCGCTTATCCTATCTGTGTATTTTGGTTGCTCTCTGATGACTTGCTGTTTATTTGAACTCATATTTTTGCATTTGTTCTCTCTTTCTTTCTATGATGCTGTTCTTGAGTTTTTCAAAAAATGGTTTAGCATTAGTTTACACATATTCTTTTTGTGTCTGATTTATGCAATCTATGCATATGTCAGCTTAGCTACACAACCAGCACGGAATCGGTTTTCTCACCCTCTGCTTACCCCTTGGTTAGGGGCTTTTCCATCTTGTAGAGCCCTCTTTTTAAATTTTTGGTGCATGGTTCTTACTATTCTTAATAGGAGTAGGTGATGTGTAGAGTCCCACAAGGGGAAACCAACATCAGGAGATCTCCACTGTATAAGAAATGAGGAAGGGAGGCCCTACCTTTAATCAATCTAAGGATAAAAAGGGATATGCAAGCAAAAAGTACAACTTGAAAAAAAGGCTCCTGACGACGGCGTTTTGAACACGCCAAAACGCGCGCCGAGCGTTTTCTTTTTCTTTAAAGGACCACTATAGTGCCAGGAAAACATACTCTTTTTCCTGGCACTATAGTGCCCTGAGGCTGCCCCCACCCTGCTGCTCTAGGGGGAGGAAGGGGATAAACTTACCTCTTTCTCCAGCGCCGGGCGGGGGAAGAGCTGCGCGCGCATTCAGCCAGTCTCATAGGAAAGCATTCACAATGCTTTCCTATGGATGCTGGCGTCTTCTCACTGTGAAAATCACAGTGAGAAGCACACAAGCGCCTCTAGCGGCTGTCAAGAGACAGCCAGTAGAGGCTGGATTAACCCTAATATAAACATAACAGTTTCTCTGAAACTGCTATGTTTATAGAAAAAAGGGGTTTAGCCTAGCTGGACCAGGCACCCAGACCACTTCATTAAGCTGAAGTGGTCTGGGTGCCTATAGTGGTCCTTTAATCTCTGCACTTGGTAGCACTTTTTTATTTTTGTTACCACTATGGTTATTGATTTTTAGGTGTTTATTTATTTATAACTTTAGGGAGAGTTGGTTCAGGTAGACACTAGTGGTTAGACCACGGTGTTGAGGTAACTTTTAGGGTGAATTGAGAGATTTATTTATTTATTGTGTAAGGCTTTTCATCTGCGTTTAGACCTGATTACCCGGTCCCTTGTTCTCTGGGGACCCTGTGCCTCTTCTCTCTCCCTAACCTCGTTTACACTACCTTCCTGTCAGTCGGACACTAGGGGAACTGGAACTTAGATGCTAGCTAGTACTCCAGACAATTGATCCCCTGGGCACCGTTTAGTGGATCTCCCTTTTTTTCAAGTTATATGTTTTGTTTGCATATCCCTTTTTATCCTTAGATTGATTAAAGGTAGGGCCTCCCTTCCTCATTTCTTATACAGTGGAGCTCTCCTGATGTTGGTTTCCCCTTGTGGGACTCTACACATCACCTACTCCTATTACCTACATATTTTGGATGGTTTCCCTCTCATTGGAGCTCCCTATTAGGTGGTTACAGTGGTGCAGCTCATGAGCCCTTGACTTGTATCTGGACTCCTAACCTGCACTCTGTTTACTTTATTTCTCCATTTTGTGTTTCTTACTATTCTTACTATGACTCTACAATGTGTACTTGCACCATTATATTTTTATTTCTCTACATAAATAGATGTATTGTAATGTTTGTGTCCTAAATTTAAAAAGTAGGATGCTCCTTCTGTCTATGATATTGCTGTGGTTTATTGTACTATATGTGTCTACTGTTTTTTCACCCAAATAACCAATTTATAAATTTAAAAAAAAAAAAAAAAATACAAACCAAATTCGAAAATGAATGAATGCTTAAATGACAATGAACAAACTGTGAATCAACAAATCTGCAAATTAGTGTAGAAAAAATGCAATTATTTAGGTAGATTTAACGTACTCATGAGCAATTCACTAATCAGAAACCATTATGTATCAGCAAAAAAAAAAAAAGAGCAGATACATAATTGCTTTCATTATCTCTAATAATAAAAATAGAAAGAATAACAAAGACAGAGCAAATTGTCCAAAACAAAAATGTTTTCAGGGACTCAGACTACAAAAAAAAAAAAACATTCATGCGTGATGCTCACTGGTTTGCCATGATGCTCTTCCTTGGCTCTATTTAAGCTCCCTTTAATGGAAACTAGCAAAAAGGAAATGTGTCAAAACTCAAACCTATTTCTCACTTAGAATGTTAAAGGGACATATGTGACGGTATACCCTCGAGAAGATGGGTTATTACCACCAAGGTCGTCCCTTCCCAGTGTCTGTAGCTCCAGAGTGATTATACCCTCTTGCGCAAAGTACCGCTGTCTCACCCAAAACCTATTCGAGACTTAGTAAAGGGTGAAGAAGAACTGTTTTATTGAGTCAAAGCACACAAATTTATACACAGACCCCCAGCATGGGGTCTCCATTCAGAATCACACAAGCCCGCCCAGACGCCTCTATGTCTGTGAGATACTTGAGTCAGCTCTTGATTAAACTAATTATCTCCCGGACACAGAAAGCAGAATACTTAAAAAAAAATAATAAAATATCGCATAGAATATAATGAAACACCTTCACATGCCATATATCCCCAGAAAGGTCTCTCTAGAGCGCCCATTCTGTCCAAAAAGCGCCC